TCTATATTTGAAAACCCGGAGTTCAGTAAACACAACATGAATGGCATTAGAAGACGCCCGTTTCAGTTACACAACACGTTTTGTGTAATTATGTGAAAATAAACTTTTGTAATCTGGTTACTAGAGTATACAAGTCATTAGATGACTAGAACATGTCCGTGTCTGGACATGTGGGACAGATCTTTTACTTTTTTATTCTGTCGTGAGACTTTGCCTTTGACAAACCGTCTCCTTGTCCTTCGGCACATTTTATCAGCTGGAAACTTCTACGTGATACGCTACTGTTCTTTCATCTACTTGTGCAGCCTACAGCTCTATGTGTGCTACATGCTGACAGATGTCATGTCTCTGTCATTTAACTCGGCTAATTGACAGCTGACTATGGTAACGACGGTGTTTAATGCAGTCACACGTCTTCTTTCCCCCCCAGCCAGAAGCTGGGGGGCGGGGGCTTGGCCGTGTGATTTCACGCATCAATAAGTGTGTTCACACTAGGGCTGCAGCTATCGAATCTTTTTTGTAATCGAGTACTCTATCGAATCTTTTTTTCGATTAATCGAGTACTCTAATAAATTACCCTTTTGTGTTTGTAAACCTTTATATCATATATTGATGAGCCAAGATGGCGCCGAGTATGGCTGCCTCGTCGCGAGCTCCACCAAGTTCCAACATTACACGCTCCATAATGTACATTAATGCCACTGCTCTGCACATACCAACCTCTGTACATTTTATATCTCTCATCTTATTGTTTACTTTATTCATTTGTATACTTACATTAGCCATTTTTATATTTTACTTGTTTTTACATTACTGTATTTTTGCACAACTCTGTTGCTGTGAAGCTCGCACACAAGAATTTCACTCGCATGTACTGTACCAGTGTACCTGCACATGTGACGTGACAATAAAAGTGATTTGATATCAAATAGCATGTTATAAAATATGAAAGACCTCTTAAAATGAGCAAGCAATTGCCAGTTATTCTTCAAGTTTTATTCAAAATTAGTTTGCAAAACTTCAGCACTTCAACTTTACTTCACAGTAAACAAATGCCTGTGCAAAAAATAAGTAAACAACCTGAGCCGATTTTCCCCTCGTGCGAGAATCTGCTAGCCTGCAAGCCAGACAGAAACTAGGAGGATAACGCTGTGAGCGGCTGCGGCCCAAACAGAACCAGAACCGCTCACGGAGCAAACAGCTCGCCGGCTGTTTCCCTTTTAACACACGTCCGTTTTAATTTCCACACTTTTTTTCTCACACTAACAAGGATTGTCGAAAGCATGTTTGCTGTGGTTTTGTCAAATTATACTGATCACAAAACATGTATTTACTTTCTTTCGTTTTCCTCCGCCACTCATAAATACCCGTGTCCTCCTGCAGAAACCCCGAGGGACAACGGACATCAATAACACAATAAAAAGTCCGACGTGTTGTGTAAAAACTGCTATTTTTAGCACATTTTAAGTCCGACGTGTTGCTACCAGACGTACGGTGTGAGCTGAAACTGAGTGCTACAAACGAAAAAGTCGCACAGTGTCTGCAGAATATATAGAAAAACAGGCTAAAAAGCATTATCTTGTAGAGGCTCCGAGTCCGCTTGCAGAAGAGACATTTACAGGCGCTGCAGCACGGAGGATGTGGTGTTGTGCTAGGCTAAATCCATTTTACTGTATTTACACTGGACTACGTTTTCCACCTTACGACGTGAAAAATGGTCCCACACCTTTGACTTTTTCTGTCTTTTTCGCACTCCACCGGGGTCCACGTTGTTAAGAGAAAGTTAAGTTATATTCGCTACTCGCGTGTGCATTCAGTCCAGTGGGCATGTGCGTCACTTATTTCGGTCCGGGTGAAACATGACCCCGGGTGATTGCAAAGCCATGAATTAATTAAATATGAATTAAACGAATCCTCGAGGCAGAGAATTTGACTCGAGGATTTTTTGTACTCGAATTATTCGAGGTACTCGAGGAATCGTTTCAGCTCTAGTTCACACACTTGTCTTCTTGGAGTTGGCATGTTCTCTCTAGGCAAGTTCCTCAGGTTTCGTCCCATAGACCAAAAACATGCGTACTGGGTTAACTGGAGACTTAGTTTACAGGAGTTTCCTCTTTTCATTAAACAAAACACAGATATGGACAAACAGACCGCATGCACGAGGAGAAGAAAACTGCACACAGAAAGGCTGCAGCCGGGATTCAAACCTGCAACCTTCTTGCTGCGAGGCAACAGTGCAGTCCTGGTTTATGGTCATACATCATTTACCTGCTCCGAGCTTGTTTGGGTTAGACGGATCTAAGTCCAAAAC